GTTCTGAAGGCAAAAGGGGATCCAACCCGTTACTAGCGTGGTGTACCTAATAAAGTGGCCGGTGAGTGTATATCATGTTGTATATTTGATTTGATCCAGTCAGAGGGGCTGTAGCAAGTAGGTATCTCTGCAGACGAGTAGGAGTTTCCAAAAGAGGGCTTTTCTCCAAGGGACACACCTGATTGGACAAGAAAAAAAAGGCGTTACTCAAGCACACCACCTGATTTGATGATTGTTGCTTAAGTGTTTCTTTATATCATTAGCTTACTTTTCTAGCATTGGACTTTCTTATTTATTTATTTAGCTAAAAGAACTTGCTGTTGTTAACGAGGTAATCAGAAGACTTGGGAATAATAACAGCCAGGAGATTATATTAGCTGCTGCTGTTCTATGTTTATATGAAGACGCTGCCAGTGTCGGACCTGACGTCTTCGTTATTTCTGCTTCTCTTAACAAAGAGCTCCTGGTTACATTTCAAAATAAGAGCACCGTCAGTCAGTAGTGTATTTTTTTAGATATTTAGAAATAGGGAGAACTAAATGTTTGTTTTTAATGATACATTGCGACTTCATTAAAAAAACAGGTAGTTTTGGGTGCTAAAATTAATGTGACAGTAGGTAAAGTCAAAAGTGAAAGAAAAACGAAAGAGAAGAACCAAAAAAACAGCAAATATAACTAGCCAATCTGTTTACACTTGAGAAACACCTACTTGAGTCTGCAGAGAACCCTTTTTTGGCTTTAGGGCTATAAAGAAGCAGAAACACCTKTTTTAATTAAAAGAAATGTGTTTTAAAGGTATTGTGTAAAGTACTCTGTATCAGCGAGCACCAACACTGAAGTACTTGTACTTGCACTCAGTTTGAGAAAAACTGGTATCGGGACACCTCTAATCTGACCTAGACTTTTTAGAAATAAACCAGTTTGATAAAAGTACTGGATGGGTTCATTAGAGCGGTGTTTTTCAACMCTGGTCTTCAAGGCACACTGCCCTGCACGTTTCCCTGCTTCAACAGCTGATTTCAATTGATAACTGATTACCAGGCTTTTGTTGACCTGCAACCATCTGAATCAGGTGTATCAAAGTAGGGAGACCTCTAAAACATGCAGGACAGTGTGTCTTGAGAACCAGGGTTAAAAAACACTGCATTAGAGACACAAGTGTTTTTTACTTCTGGACTTGGGAAGATGTGAGCGTCATAATTTAAACCAAAGTCAGAATCAGACTAAATGTTTCTTCTCTCCTCTGCCTCACTCAGGCTGCACTCGTTTTGCTCTACGATGTGATGATAGTCAACAACTGGCAGGCCTTCATTGAGGCCTACAGCCGATACACAACAGAGTAAGGGAGCAATTAACAAACAAATCTGTTGTTGATTGGCATGAATCCTGTTGTGATGATGATGATGATGATGATGATGATGATGATGATGATGATGATGATGATGATGATGATGATGATGATGATGATGATGGGTTTTCTCTCTCAGATGGTCCAAGATCTACTTTGTATGTTGGTGGCTCACCTCCTCTGTCATGTGGGTCAACTTGTTCGTGGCGCTCATCTTAGAGGTCAGTTCATGTTCTGTCACTTTGATCCCCAACAAGGATCTGATCTGAAGTTATATGGACCAGGAAAAAAAATAAGTTATCTGGTCTTTATCAGTGAGATAAGTACCAGAATAATAAGGTCACAATGGTGCTTCAATGTGGCTATTATTATTTAGAAATAAACACAGAGAAACACAGTAATGTGTGAAAAACAAAGCTTGTCTTCTGATTGAGCGGCTCATGGAATCATCTTTAGCAGCAGTAACTCTCAGTAATGTTTCTATGGAGACTCAGAGGTAACATCCTATCACAGTGTTTCAGTCATGCTGAAGTCTGGCCTTTGATTGGACCAAAATGATTTTCTCTTTCAGCCATTCTGTTGACTTTCTGAACAATTTTAAAGCCAACCATCAGCAGACGGCTCATTAAACTAATATACAAGATAATTCATGTAAGGTGGCCAGATCCTGAGGCTGTGCAACAAGCCCAGATCATTACTCACCCTCCGCCGTGCTTTAACAGCTGCTGTTGTTTGAGCCGATATGTTTTGAAACACATCTCCACTTTGGTCTTGTCTACCTGAAGGACACCTTTCCAGAAGTCATGTGGTTGGTTCAGGTGTAACCTGATTTGGTTTCCTTCCAACAATTCTTTGAACAAGCCTTTTTCTTTAATCTTTTTTCTAATTACACTAAAACTTTAAGGTTTGACCTGATACCTTAACATGCCACCTCAGCATCTTGGCTCAGGTTTTGTTAAATCARTAATAAGACGGTGTAATAAACCTTTAGACAGTTATCGGGTTCTGTAGGCGAGGTAGGACCCATGATGCAGGCAGGCAGACTCGAGGAGGTGATGAAAAGTCTGTATTAAATTAAAGGCCGGCGTGGCGGCAAAAACAGGAAACTAGAAGACACAGAAAGCACAAGGGAAACCAGGGCCGAAAGTGGAAGTGCGGGTTAAGTAGAAGCAGGGTAGAGTGAAAAGTGGAAAGATCTGAGTGATTACAGAGTGCAGACAGGTGTGAGAGAATAATCAGGAAGGGACTGCTAGACTGAGGCCTGAGAGGAGAATGTAAAACACAGGAGGAACACCAGAGGGCGACAGAGCACGATGTAAGACAACAGATCCTCACAACCATGAGAGACAAGTGTCTACTTACTATTTATTCTGACTCTTATTAGTGTGTTGTTTKTCTTAGTAAGACTTCTTCCTGTAGGTGTAAACTAATTGAAACAATGMGTGTAATGCACAGATCTGAGTACTTTTTAAGGGAAAATGAAGTAAAAACTAGCTGATAAAACCTGCTGCAGTGCTKTTGCTTTAAAATGCCCGTGACATGCAAATCCTTCAAATACAAAAAATCTTTATATTTAAGAAACCTGGCATAATTTACATGATTTTACCCATTTTGACACATAACTGGCATATTTTCTTTTGAACTTGGCTCAGACAAGGTGAAACAGGAAGTGACATCAAAGGGGAACTCTTTTAGAAAGAAAACAGTTTTTTGTTTATTTGCACAATATTGTTTGAACCCTGACTCCTCATCTCTCTAATAGTGACTTAAATTAATCTAAAGAAACATCAGATTCTTCTCAACAGCCTGCGTTGTTAGTTGTCATATAATTGCTCTGCTATTCCCCTTTGACATCACTTCCTGTTACTTCACATGCAAATATCTCAGCAACTCTTAGTCTCAGCGCCGTGAAATTTCTTTTTCCAATATATTTACAGTGTTATCTTTTAAAAAATGCTTTTGCATTTATTACAAAAACTTGATGTCACAGGCACTTTAATAATAATCTGATATTGAGTGTTCAAGAGAAATCATTGGTTCTTGTTGTCTGAACAGAACTTCATCTACAAGTGGGACCGCAGCCACAGCTGCTCTGTGACAGACGTGGAGAAGATCCGATACGAAACCTCTGTTCAGTTCATGTTCAAGTAGGTCCAAACCAACATCTGCTGGACGTCTTCAAACCMACAAAGCTAACTGTGTTCTGCTGCTTCCTCTTTTCTCCGTGTCAGAGAACAGATCCAAGAACCGACAGAAGAGGAGTTACTTTGTCAGCTCCACCAGCACCCCCACCTGCACATACAGTGGTGACCCCGACGTGATGAGCAGCAAGAGAAGCACAGAGAGGATTCTGGTGCTTGTCTTTTGCCAATATGTTACTGAACAAGTAGAAAGCACTTTTTTTCATGATTTGTTATGTTTTTGTTTTTGTTTTCTGAGCAAAACCATTGTGGCCTGCCAGACACAGCWTTCAGTGGGAGAATCTCTGGAAATCTGTCTCACGGTCAAACTACAAAAAGCTTCGTCTGGTTTTAAATCCAGAAATYGTTGAGTCAAACTTTTTAATGCCAACAAGTTTTTATCATGAAGCACAGGACTTAAAATCATTTCAGAGCTTAAAGCACAGCGCCTTAAATCACAAATGTGTCTCAGCACTGAAACAACTCTTTTTACATTCATTTAATTTTATTTTAGATCTTATGTTTTGCAGCACAAGTCTGCAAAGCAGCATTTGAGCAGAGTGTTTGTCTCTGCCTACAGTACTGTATTTACAGGTTCTATTTACTGATTCAAACATGTTTGATAACCTGGAACTGAGAAACCCAAATTCAACATTTAATTTGGCACATGCAGTAATTGTCTATGTGGGATAGGAGGTACTTTTACATAATTATTTAATCATCAATCCGGAACATTTTCCTACCAGTTAATCATGGAGGAAGTTGTTGTTTGAGGGACTTTCAGAGGACGCTGTGAGTTTTATTGAGATAGCAAAGAAGGAGGAAGTCTTTTCTCACCAGGAAATGTGCTTCACTTGAAATGAAAACTTTCCTTGRCATTCTGGCGGTGGATAATCGTGCGACAAACCCCGCCGTGATTTATTAAAAAATCAGTTCAGATTCTGTCTGGATCTTTGAACATGTGCTTTGTACCAACGTCACTCTTATGATATTTAAAGGGTTAAAAAAGGGAAACTCTCACTTCTTTGTGACATTTATTTGAAAAAGAATTACTTCAGGTGTTTTTTAAAAAGAAAATTAACTTCAAATGTTTTTATTTTTTGAATGTATTTTAATAATAAATATAAAATTTTTGAACTCAAACATTTTACAAATGTCTTAGCACCAGTTTAGTGATTTTTCTTTTTTATATTAGGTGTCACCTTTTTACTGTTGTGAGCATCATTTGATAAAGTTATTTGGACTTCATATCTTTTGAAGTTTGTTTTTCTTTCTCACATGTCCTGTTTTTCATCAAATCTAGGAAAATCAGTGCTTGAATTTTAGTTAAAATATGTGCCAAAGAAAGGAGGCTTTTTTTATATATATATATATATTTTTTTTAGACTTAGGGCTTGGTCTTGACTTTATTATTATTTTCTAAGTAATTTGACAGTTCAGAAGGAAATCCTACACAGTGTGTGGAAAAGCATTTAATTGCATCAGAAGGTGTGTAGACCCTTTTCTTAACTGGACTAAGGCAAGAAAGCTTAATGGTCCATTAGAAATGGCTTCTAATAAGTTCGACCAGAATAAAACAAATCTTATTCTTATAGATTGAGTCAGTGCAGAGTGCAGAGTCTTTTTGACTTTGAATCAACAAAGTTTGGGGCATGAGACGTGAGACATGAGCTGAATAAGTTTACTGGAAGTAAACAGATGAAGTAGATGTTGATTCCTGAAAATGCCAGTGCACTTTATGAAGAATAAACAGTTCCAAAACCTGCATGACCAGGAGATGAGGTCACATAATCAAAAATGTGAAAATAAGGAAGTACGGGAGATTTTTTACAGTAATGAGGCATATTGTCATAACTAGAACTGGAATGACTGAAATACCTGCTGTGGACATAAACTCATACACACTCCAGTTATTGCCAGGTTTTGTAATGTTAAAAAAAWTAAACTACAAAAAATAATTTGAAATATTTCCCATTCTAGTGTGACAAAAATAATTTACAGTTTACCTGACAAATTAACAATTCAATTGAGGATTTAAAAATGATTAAGGTGGTGTGATACATTTGCACACCTTAAACCTAATACTTTGTTGAAGCACCTTCTGATTTATTCATCTGTATTCAATATTATACATAAAACATCTCAAAATGGATTTCATAAGCTTAGTAACAGGGATGTTGTGACTTTTTATACCCACTGTACATCATGGATTTCAATAACATTCAACATGTTGGGCTGTAGTACTGCACTTTGACCAGCGGGTGGCAGTAAGGCCACCCGCTGGGTGGCCTTAAAGTGCCGTAAAACATCAAAAGAAGAAGTAGGACTCGGAARTGAAATGTTTGGGTATTYAAAAGACGATTCCCCAAGTGTTTCTTGTATTTTCTGAAGCCTAGGAGGGATTTTATTTTACTTTTACACCCAAACAACCTGCACACATGAACGGTGAGTGTGGTTTCAAGGGCGGTAGGTCAAAACGGTGTGAAAACATGTTTATTCACCTCGTGGTTCGTCCTCCCACAGAACAAGTTTGAGTTACACTCGTGTGTGTGTGTGTGTGTGTGTGTGTGTGTGTGTGTGTGTGTGTGTGTGTGTG